TAAATCAGTAAAATGTTTAACCTGAATTTCTCTTTTACTACATCACGATGACGTCCCAAAGATCCTCCACCGTGTGGGTGAGTCTGTTGCTGGTCTGTGGTTTACACAGCAGTCCTAGTCTGGTCTCTCCTGCTGAGCTGCTGCTCACAACTGAGTGAAAACAACAGAGCAGAGTTGACCTCTTCACCTCTCTAACACACACATACACAAGGGGCAAAAAAGGGGCCATTTGTGATTTTGTAATTAATATCACTGACAGTGACTTCTTTCTGTTTCTCACCATCACACACGTGCTCATCCTGGAAACTGCTCCAGATCTTCCTGTTCATATCTGCAGATGTGTTGACTTTCAATTTTGGAATCATCTGGTCCGGCTCAAACCAAGTTGTTCTCTGGTTCAGTCGACTGTTTGTGGATGAGCCAGACCTGTGGCTGAGCAGGGATGTGGTGAAGAAGCTTCACTTCCACGATGTCACAGTGTTTTCAGGATGTGTCTGAAGTGAAGATGAGAAATCTGGAAATTTAAAACAGTTTAAAAAATGGTTTCTGAATGTGTGTAAATAGTTCTGTTCCCAGTCCAACGGTCCCAGTCCCTGAGCAGTGATTTAACATCAGCCATTAGAAACTCTGAGTGTTTAAACACGTGTGTGTGAAGAAAACCATGGGAAAACCATCCAACAGGAAGAAAGTCAGTTTCCTCTCCTGACATTTGTCTTGTCTCTGAGGTTTTTTTATACTGTTTTATTAATTAAGAAACAAATCAGTTCCAGGGTTCACATTGACTCACAAGACATGGACTTCGTCCTGGGGTCCGAGAACGTCTGATCTTTCTCCGTCTTTTCAAACAGTTCTCACGCTGCTATTTTTCTCATTTCATGAACTTTTCAGTCAGTCTTCTAACGCCGTGTCTCATTGTCAACGATACATGTGTGGTTTGTTTTCGTTCATTAACAAATTGGTCACTTTGGAAGAACTAACAACTAACTAACAAAGTCATTAAAGGTCAGGGGTCATGGCCTTTTCTTAGTAACTTCCAGAGCGAGGGTCCTGTGAAACGTCTGTCAGGTTTAGTCTCAGTGACTGACACGGAGAGACAGACTCTCTGTCCTGTCGTCCAGTCCACCGTCCGTCTCTCTGATCATTTCTGACTGATACCCTTTGTGTGGTGATGACTCCAGACTTCGTCACGATATCTGGCCCCTCGCCCACTTCTTTTGGCCCCCCCAGCTCTCAGTCATCCTGATGTTGTGACATCCTCATTTCTCCTTCCTCACTGACCCAAAATGAGACAGTAAATCAGTGTGTGCTTACAGGTGGAGGTGGAGAAAGTTGTGGTCTCATCTGAGATTTTTTCTTTTTTGGATGGAGTGAATTTTTCCAATGGTCCAACAGTAAATAAAACCTTTTGTAAGACGTTGGAGGGAATGTTACAGGGAGACATACAGTGGACAACGGTACCCTGTCTCATGACGTCCTCGAGATTAAATATTTACTTAAGCCAGTAGGGGGCAGTAATGCAACAAATAAGATTCCGATCTGCCTGTAATGTCCAAAGAAGAAAGCAAGGCTTAAGGTTTCGGCAGGATTAGCTCAACCTAGCAAAAAAGCTGACTTTCAAAGTAAAAATGACGTGATTGATGTGATAACGAGGCACTAGCACATGCTGCTAACTCTGCTAACGCTGCTAAACCACTGCTAACACTGCTATCGAGTGGCTTTATTTGAAACAATACACAATAAATACTAATTGTCAAATGCAGTCGTCAAATTGGTACTTAGCAAAATGGTAAAACACAAAATAAGATAAACACAAAATACAGTAATGATTTGCTAAAAGTGCGGACTTTAACACAGCAACGTCACTCTGTCAGTTTGGTGCCTGTTGGGAAGTCCTGGATTCAGGGTTCTGTAACTGAACATGGTGTGACTGAAGCTGTGTTTCCTCTCAGGGCCATTAGTCCCATTACAGTGTCATACTGGTGACCAGTGGAGTTAAAGAGTCACGGTGTGGAGCTGTCAGCTCCAGTACGTCACAGCCACAGACACTGTGACTGACACTGACACTGACTTCCTGCTTCTGGATCTGAACACCAGGCCTGGAGACTGAAGCCAGGCCACACGATTGGATCAATGAGGCAGTGAGAACGATGGTGTGTGTAATGGGTGGGGGTCTTTCTTGGCAGCGATGAAGAGGGAGGGGCTCATCTTCAGATTATGCAAATCCAGCGTCGTCTTGATGAAAAACAAACTGGACTGGCAGCTAATGTTCCTCCAGTCGTGAAAGGGCGAAACACCCCTGGAAGAAATACCAGCAGAGGAGTCTGGGTAATGTGCGGGGCTGAGCGGGTGTCTCCCCCAGCGTTGTACATTATCATATTTACACGTAATTAACTGGTTTTTCCACATGAAATGAGGAAGCGGCTCGACGGGGCGTTCACTGCCGCGAGGACAACGGCTCTGGACCTGCTCTGATACTGAGTGATGACATCTGACCTTTCGTCTTATCTACACGCACACTCAAACACACACGCACCATGATGCACACCGATAAGACAGGAGATGATGCAGCGTCAGATCTGAGATAAATAACAAAATTACAAATGTTGTATTATTAACCACATTAGTGACATTGAAATGAATTTGCCAGGCTGGGCCCCTTGTAATAGATCCATGTCCACGAGACAGGGTGGTGCCCCCTACTTTGGGAACCGCTGCTGTAAATTAATGCACTTTAGTAGGTTATTTACTTTTGTTTTTCTAAATGTATGTCATAGTAAAAGCCAAGTGAAGCTTTGTCCTGACGGACCTTTATTTTCTGTGGGATTTTTGAGATTTCTGGCTGATTACAGTGGAACTGCTCCTTTTCATTCATGGTTATGGTTTGTCCTTTGTACTTTTACTGTTTGCGACAGACAAACTCTGGACAATTCTGTAGTCAGATTTTATGGAGGCTGTGGCCTTGTCAAAACAAAACAGTGTTAGGCAGGAGGCCGTGTGTTACAGAGAAGGAGCTCAGTGAAGCAGCAGGAGAACAGTAGATTCATGTTAGTCCAGTCAGGCTGGAGAGGACTTGGCTGCAGTCCGGACTTCATGCATGGTCAGCCAGAATCCTGTCCTGTCCTGCTGCTGCAAGTCTGTGTGTGTGTGTGTGTGTGTGTGTGTGTGTCCTATCATCAAACAGCCATATTTCTGACTGTCTGTTTGTTTATTAGATCAGAGACTAAGTTAAAAATATGTTTAAAAAACGAAATCGAACCTGAATCCATGAAGAGACTGAGGTGCTGGTCTGTTCAGAGTAAAATCATGTAGTAATCCATCAAAGGTGACAAATACAGACAACAGCAAAAAATCATTCACTCCTATGGTCAGACAAGAGTGAACAATTCACCTAATCCCTAATCTGCAGGAACCTGGAGAACATCCCCTCCACATCTCCCCCTCTCTCAGAAGCTGTAACCGACCTGTCAGGTTCTGGCTGTGAAGTGGAGTAAAATGAGCCAAATGTGAACTGAGGAGTTTGTTTGAAAAAAAAAAAATTCACATTCATATTCACACTCACACCTCTCACCACTCTGCCACCTGGTGGCTCTCAGGAGAAATTTCTTCAGATCCTACAGTACACCATGACTTAGTTTGACGACACTTTTCTTTTGTACTTTTTTTTGTACTGCCTCTGTGACAGTCAGTAGACAGTAGTTTGTTCAAACTACACATGCTACACTTTTGTCAGTAAACTGGAGGTGCAGTGAAAATGAATGGAATCTGAGAAACTGGCAGTGAATGAAGTGACACAGTGACAACAAACACGTGAGGAGCACGAACTAGACACAGGAGACCAGAAGAGTGACTGGGACAGGAAACCAGGAGTCGACCAGGTGAGGAGTGACAATGACAACAGGAAGAGGATTCTTTTATTAACAGTCTCTCAACTCCTGTTCACTGACACGTCAACAACTGTGTCCATGGGTTAAAATACATCAAAACACGTGTTCAGAAATCTTATAATCACAAATTAATTAAAATGTTTAATGTTTGAATATCAACAACCCTGATAGAAACACACACAGACATGTATGACCATATATATGTCCACGTCCAACCAACTCTAGTGGTGTTGGTTAAAAGACTGATGTTCTGGGAGGTGTTAAAAATATGTTTGGACTGAAATTATTAGACCCAGAGAGAAAAAGAGAACCTTTTAAATTCAGCCAGCTGTGTGGACATCTCCTCAGAGAGGAGGAGGAGGAGGACGAGGTGGAGGAGGAGGAGGAGGCGGCTTTTGG